GGTGGGCAAAGTCGGGTGCTTCTTCTAGTGTTAACTAGGTGGCATGGGAAGATTTATGTAAGCCTAAGGCGAGCAGGGGATTAGGTTTTCGTAATTTCAAAGCCTTTAATTTAGCTTTATTGGCTAAGCATGGATGAAATTTTTAGGCGCTTCATCAAGGGCTGGCGAATCAACTTTACAAAGCTAAATATTTTCCAAATTGTTCCCTTTTGGAAGCTGCTTTGGGATCTAATCCTTCCTGGGCTGGAGAAGCATTTGGTCCACGCAATCTATTATATCAGCCGAGTCATGGTGGATTGTGGGAAATGGTAGTCAATCTATACAGATTTGGGCTGATCGTTGGCTTCCAAACCATTCCTTTCTGTTACCCTGATCGACAATTTCAGCACTGCCTAAATTCGTGTCAGAATTGTTGGATGTATCTTCTTATGGTTGGAATGTATCTTTTTTGCATCAATTATTTCCGCCTGTCACTGTGGATGCTATTAAAAAAATACAGTTTTAGCTTCTGCTCCAAATCGGATCGGTTGGCTTGGGACTTAGAGACTAATGGGTTGTTTTCTGTGAAGTCCGCCTATTATTTAGCGTATTGCCTTTTGAATGGTGGACGATGTTCTTCTGGAGATAATGCTTCCTCTTCTTCCTATAAGCTTCTGTAGAAAAGTATTTGGTCGGGAACAATGCCACCTAAGATACAACATTTCTTGTGGAAATGTTTCAAGCTTGCTGTTCCGGTTCGTGAACGTTTGATTGCTCGTGGGATTGTTGTTTCTATTGTGTGTCCTCGTTGTGGTTTTCAGCCGGAAACTATTGAACATTTGTTTTTTTAATGTTTCCATTCACTTCAGGTTTGGAAGCTCTCTCATCTGCGGTCCCCCCCCCCCCCCCCCAACCCCCGCGCGCGCGCGCGCGCTTTCCTTCGCAATTTGGTGGTTAAGTTTGGTTCGTCAATAGGGATCAACAGACGTAGGGGCAGATGTGTTGGGGTTTATTGCTTGTTGTTGTTGATTAATTTGGAAAGCTCGTAACAAATTTATTTTTCCTGGGGAGTTTTGGGATGCTTCTTGAGTGGTTCGGCTGGCGGGGTCTTTTTTTTCTGGGAATTTAAAGAGGTTTCCCTTTTATCACGTTCGCATCTGCCAGTGGGAAGGTTTGTTGTTTCTTCTCATTTTTCGCATTCTTTTTCTTTGCCGGGTTGGTTGCCTCCGTCTCCAGGAGTTATTAAATGTAATGTAGATGTCTCATTCTCTCTTTCATCTCATTTGGGAGGAGGTGGAGCTGTTTTTCGTGACTCTTCAGGGACTATTTTGGAGGATGTGCTTTTTAGTCAATTCCCGGCTTCTAATGCGACTTTGGCTGAGGCTTTATGCCTTCGTAAGGTTGTTTTCTGGGCGTTGTCTTTTCACTACTCTCATGTTTGGTTTGAATCTGATTCGTTGGCGGTGGTAAATGTTGTTTTGGATAATAATTCTAGGCCTTTGGATATTCAAGCTATTATCTTTGATGTGCAGGTGGCGCTTCGGAGTTTCTCCTCATCCAGTCTTAGTCATGTTCACAGGCATGGCAATGAGGTGGCTTATGCTCTTGCAGCGCTGTCTAGAGGTCATCTGATCAAGGATGTTGCTCTTGTCTCTATTCCTTTTCATATTAGATGTCTAACAGCCAAGGATTGTTCATGTTAATTTTTGTGCTGCTTCTTGTGGTGTGTTTGCCGGGTTAAATATATATATATATATATATATATATATATATATATATATATATATAGGAATCAAATTGATGGTGATGGGGCCTAATTCCTAATAATAGAAGGTTGTACGTGATAATGATGGGCTTCCCCACTTTTGCATTTTCACTTTAAAACATGGTGGTTATGTCAAAAAATAACATTTTAAATAAAATGTATCATTAGAGCAAAATTACTAATATATAGTATTTTATCACTATAACGTATCTCAAAATATAACTTTAACATGCAAAAATAACTCAGAATATAACTTTAACATGCAAAAATAACTTTTTTACATCGAAGATGCTCCCAGTCTTTCTTTGCCAATTAGGCATTAGCGTCCAAGCAAACAAATCTTTAATGGTTGACATTTTCAAAAGACATTATGGCTGATCTCAAGTGTCTAGGGCCCAGCCAGGCAACATATAAGAGTCTTTTTCGGTATATATTTATATAATATATACATACATTTATATATATATTAACAACTATATATATATATATACATATATTAGATGTCCAAACTCCAAAGAAAAGCAATTGTGCTTCATGAGAATATGGCATGGAAATCGAAAACTATGTACATCTTTGATTTAATTTTTTCTAAATTTCATAATGGCTAACTCTTTTTTAATTTTTTAAAATTTCATATCGTGGCTGAACAATTCTTTAAAATCAAAATATGTAAACTAATGATATCTATTCTACCCCTATCATAGAAAGGTAGGGTTGAAGTTAGATAATGAGTGTAAATTTCTTGTTATTAAAAAAAATAATAATAATAAAAAGAATAGCGGTGGCTGAATAATTTTTTAAAATCAAAATATGTAATCTAATGATATCTATTATGCCCTTTATCATATAAAGGTAGGGTTGAAATCAAATAATGAGTGTAAATTTCTTGTTTTAAAAAATAATAATAATAATAAAAAGAATTAGTCAAGTTGAAAATAGCATGTGTACCATTACGCTACTGGTGTCTTTATCTTGTGAGCAGGTCAAAGTGTCACAATAAACGCAATCAAATACAATACTCAACATCAGAGTAAAGCTATCTCTACTCATCATTCTTTGTGGATGTTTTTCGTATCTTATTATAGGGTTTGGATATATGAAGACATATAATTGGATGTGCTATTTCATCAGACAGAAGATACCTCCCTCCCAATATTGTTGACTAATAATAACAAACGTTAAAACTCTTTCATTGTTTTTAGCTGCTACTTTACTTGCATTGTTGCACGTGACCTCTAATTGTATATTTAGATTTGCAACCTTTCTTGGCTTTAGATGCAAATTTAAGGCCTATTATGTGTGTAAATTACACTCACTCCAACATTGTTTTCCTTGTCTTGGTGGATACATTCATATTCAACAATCAAACAGCATAAAAGTCTAATGATGTTCCTATTGTCAAAGAAATATATTTTGAAAACGACACATATTTAATATATTTTGAAAATAACATATTTATTGGGTCATTTATTTTAAAAAGAAAAGCTATCAAAGATGTGTTTCGCGATAAGAGTTATGACTTCTTTACTTATAACAACGGAGTTAAAATCATATTTTGACATTGATAAAATTTCAAATGAATTATTTAATACATCTTTTAATTTAGTGACTGGAAAAAAAAATTTAATAATAATGTGTAAAAATTAAAAATAAACTTCTTAAAATGGCATATAGTAGGGTGATGATACCATCATGATATCATTAAATGTGATAACGTCATTATTTCTTGTTTAAATAAATTTAATTAAATTTGTCACATTATATATCGAACTCTCTATCATTACTCTTTTGAAAATGACATAAGTACTGTGTCACCTGTTTTAAAAATTAAAGAGCAATCCTATCAAGAGTGTTCTTTGCAACCAGATATGTGAACTCTTTATTTATAAAATTTTAAATGAATTCTTTAATACAATTTTCAATTTAGTGACTAAAAAAATAAAATTTATAAATGAAACTCTTATAACTACATTACTCAGATTTAAGCATCATCCAAGTTATAATAGCAACAAATTTTTTTTTTTTTAAATTAGTACTCACGCAAGGAATTGTTTAAAAACAAAAGCTCTTTTAATTTGTACAGATCGTGACTTAATAGTAACCATTTCACCAAAAAAAGAAAAAGGAAAATTACTAATCATCAAACCTGTTTGGGTCCACCATTATGGATTAAGTGTCTGCTTTATGACACATTTAACCAAGCCAAGTTAATGATTTACCATACAGAAGCTATTACAATAAGAACGATGTCGTGTTAAACTACAATATATATTTGTATTTACATAATTTAACTGGATATGCTAATATTAACTTAAATAAATCATTCAAACACTCTCTTTTTCTGTGGGTGTACTGTTCTAGCATTCAACCATTTTATTAAGCATTCAACCATTTTATTAAACACTCGCGGTCGGGTGTCACTTTAATTTATTAATTTTAATCGATATAAATATTCTAGCTGATTATAAATATGTGATTCTAACTGGATGAAAATTAAAATGTTTAATCATAATTGTTTGGGATTCTTTACATTAAGTGTTCAATTAATATATATATTTTTTTAAAAAATTAAATTAAATAAGTAAAATTGTAGATTCATTTACATATCTAATATTTTTTATCCCATAATTTGAGTGTGAGTAATAAAATTGTTTACGGAGTACTTTATTCTGCCCTCTATTTTCATTACATAATTACATATATTTCTAATTTTGTTTAACATATTTAATTTTAATCATTCTCATCTCGATAGATCAAAATCATAAAATTGTAGAACTTCAATTCAAAATATGTTTCATAATTCACAAATAAAGGAAGCAAAAATACAAAAGTTTCATGCTACCACTATTAACCCATCAGAGTTGATCAAATAGTGATCTCACAATGCCAATCTTACGGAGTCGTAATTTAACTAATATTTGTGATTTGAGAGTAAATGTTTGTAATTTATATCATTACTATGTATTTTTGCTAATGACATATTTAGAGATTTATTAAATACAAAAATATAGAAATTAGAAAAATATTTTTCTTTTTAAGAGTATTTTTTTTTTTTTTAAGATTCATTTTTCTCTCTATTATTCATGTTTGGACTTTATATTATTATAATTACATTGTAATATTAAAATTAAATATATTAGGTTGACTTCGACCTTTGTTTAGATGATGGCAATGCTCTTCATTTACATTGTAATAATTTGATTTCCATAAAGTTGTTTGGAGATATATATATATATATATATATATATCCGGCTTATTCGTCAGTTGTTTAATTAACTTGGTGATGATGTTATTTCACCTCTAATTTATCATATATATGTTGAGAGAGGGCTCAAACGGTGGATCTTTACGCAACGACTTCGTCTTCGTCTTCCACATCGCACCAAATAGATCTGCGATTCGACCACAATATCTTTCACAATCGATTCGCTTTCTTGTATTGAACCAACCATTGATTGATCCATCGATTTTAATCTCATTTTCTCAATTTCCAAATGTCTTCATAACATTAAGAATTAATTAAATATCTACTACTTCACGTCCATGAGTTTCGCGTTCGTCTGCGATATATTGTAGTCACATATATATACATATATCGCAGCATATGTATATATTCGTTTGCTAGTAAGCATTAAGAATGGGCTCGAAGAAGAAAGCCACGTCGCATAAATCTCCTCGTTCTCCTTCTCAAGATACGGATACGTTGGTCTCAGGCAAGTGTTTATTATTATTATTATTATTAATTTTTATATGTTAGTCAAGTTTGTGGGGATTTGATTATTGTATTTTGAACTGTCTTTTTGTCTTCGAATTTGGTGATTGATGGAGTGTTTGCGGTGACTCTTTACATTTGTATGAAAAATTTGGGTCTTATATATAAATTGTTTGAATTTCCAAAAAAAATTATATATTTTGGGGCTTATATGTTGTATGCATAGCTATTTCCTTGATTAGAGTGTGAATTTCAATATTGTGGATGAGGAGGGTTTAATTTACTGCATAATCCGAACCATAATAAAAATGTCTTCTCCAAAACCCTCATCATTTAGATTATGCCCTCTCATAAATTTGGTTTTTTTAAGCCGTTAAATGACAACTTTATTAGTGTCACGGCCTCCTGGGTGGTTTTTGGTTAATCCTAGTACGTTCAGTTTAATGGGGATTAGAGTTGAAATTATTTATCATGTATGGTTAGGGTATATACTACAAACTTCTCATGGAGGCTATTTTTATGAATTTCCAGTTTTCCATCTTGAAGAACCGAGGTTATACAACTGTAGGGAAAACTGGTAATGTGTTAGGAGGAACTATCTTCACATTAGACTAGCTTACTCACGATGTTGCAATTTATTTGTAACTAATATTCTCTGCTACATAATATGTCTTTCAGAAACAATATAATATTTTCAGACAATAATTAAGGAATTTATTGTTACAGAACTTTAGCTTAAATATATGCAAAAAGCTTGGAAAATAGGACCTCATTAGGCAAGGTTGAGGCAAATCTTAGACGACAAAAGGAGAAAACAAGTGTACATATGAAGTCTTGATCTTGTTGATTCCAAATTGGTGTATGCACTGCAATAGTGACACCATGCTGGCGAATCAAGCAGGCATTTGGGAATGATATTTTGTTAGATTGATGCTTTTATGGTCTATGTTATCTTTACTATTTGGACTCTTTGATTGTTGGTTCTACCAAGTTTGTACACCAAGGCTGTATTCTATGAAAGAGTTCTTTTTATATCTTTTATTTATTTATTTAAAATTTTGGCAAATGGCCTCTAACAAGAAGATTTTTAATGGGTTGGGTACATTTGTAAGTGAAATATATCTATCCAGAGAGTACAGTTGGCCTATAAATTACTGAGAGTGTGATGCTACTGTACTATGTGTGTGTGCACGTGCGTGTGGGTGCATTTGTGTGTAGGCTTTTTGTTAAGAGAAAATTAGTGTTCTCATTTTTTTAAGCGGTACCTGTAAATGTTAGCCATTATTTTGGCCAACCTGGGAAAAGAAGTAGGATCCTTATTGATAATTGTAGTACCTTTGACTTTATTCTTAATAAAATTAACAGGTCTATTCATGGGCATTTTAAACCAAGTTTAGAGGCATTGTAATAGTTATCCCTTTTAGTGGCTAAACAGTAGTAGTATATCGTTTACTTGATATCCTGCCTGTCCTGCAATTTATCATTGTTGGATTTCCCTTCCAATTCACGAGCTTAAATAAATTGGCAGATTAATGTTCAATAATAATAATAATAATAATAAATTGGCAGATTTGAGTTTGTCAGAAAGAAGGAACTTTGGACAAGTCCGTTATGGTTCCATCAGTGAAATGCCTAATCTTTCTTCTGCTTTCAAATCTTTTTTGCTAAATATTTTTCAGTTCCTTCTCAACTTTCCCTGTGTGACAACAACAAATCAACCCACATGTATAAACCCTACGGCGAGTGTGGTTTGGGAGAGAGAATAAAATAAGAGAATAATTCATTAATCATTACACATTGTGGTCTCCAACAATTGAGGATGCAAAGAGGGACAGATATGGTGTATTGGCAGAAAGTGGTACCCTTAGCTGGAATCTGCATTTTTACACATGGCAGAAAGTGGAGAGAGATCAACAATGGGCAAAAAAAAAATTCTCAAAATGCTCTTTTCCGTTTTGATAGGCATCATCCAGTTTTGATTGTGGCCATTGGAAGTACAACAAACTAACCTGGAGTTAAACTTCATTTTTTCTTGAAAGCAAGCATCATTTGCTTCCTTTGGGGAATGTGTTACACTTTTATTTGCATTCTCTATCTCAAATTTCATGTTCATCTAAGACTAGTAATTGTATTTGCAGTGCTCTGTTTGCTGCCAGATAAAGGATAGAAAAAGAGAAATAAAAGAATGAGTACATAGTAACATTTTAATATCAGAAGGAAGCTTTTGAGATCCCATAGAATTCCATGAGCTAATACTATTGCTACTTCTTGCAGGACTCCATGCGAAGTATCAAGGGGAACTAGAAAATTTAAAATTAACAACACAACCTCTCAGAACATTAAAGCTTTTCATTTTGGCTAGTATTCAATATTTTAAACGATCAGCAAAATATCTTTTGGCGCATGGTGTCTGGCTTATCCTTTTGAGTACCTGCATGGTGATTCTTGGAATACTACTTGTGACCATTGATGGTCCTCATGGAAAGGTACTTCACTTTTTCGATTATCTTAGTAGCTTTTTATTTTGGTGCATTTTACATTCACATATAGAGCTACAAATACCTTTTACTATGTGGATAAAAATTTAACTTACGACCACTTGCAAGGTTGGTTTCTTATTGAATAATTATTGTTATATTCTAAATCAAGAAACTCTATCAGTTTGCCATGACCTTCAAGTCATTAAGCTTATGGTGGCTCCATGGCCACTTTGCAAAATTGAGTTAAGCTCGAATCTCATTGTGTTGTATGTTAAGGATGATAAATATCATGAACATTTTATTTTATGTTTATTTATATAGTGGTAAGTAAGACATCCACACCCCCATCACTTGAACCTCCATCTTTTCTTTTGGAGAAGGCAGGAGAAATCACTTTAGCATACAACATGTGGTATTCTTTTTGTGACTTACAATAATTCCTTTTGTTTTCGGCATACATAATGAACGTTATTTGGGTTCTTATTATTCAGTCTGTTGTTCACCTTTATCTGCAGCATGTTGAGGAGCTTCTTCAATATTTACGGTTTGGGTTGTGGTGGGTGGGCCTTGGTGTTGCATCTTCTATTGGTCTTGGTGAGCAAAATAAATCTGCACAAAGTTTATGCATTGTTGTACATTGACAAGTATGTCGTTGATGGTTGTTGACGTTTCTATGTTGGTCTGAACATTTAATTGTTTATTAAAACTTCTGCAGCCAACTATTAAATTGTTTTGGCATCAAAATTATTCTTGTGTTTTTCATAACCCGTTATTTTAGAAGTTTAAGCACAATTAGAGAGGATTGCAAATTTTTTTATTTAATTTAACACTCTCGTTATGTGTAGCACATCACGAGTGGGCCATATACATGAATTTGTTGTATGCAGAAATGCTGTAATGGTGAAGTTTGTGTTTCAAACGCAGGACTTTTTTAGTTGGCTACCAACTACTCTAGAAGGCAATTTATTAAAGAGATGTAATTTAAGTATCAATATACTGAATATGCCCCTCATGTAGGTAGTGAGATTTGAGTTTAAACCTTCGTGCTCTAGTACCATGTTAGCAACTGGCTGCTCTAAAAGCTTAAATTGTCAGAAAATGTTCAAGTGTCTATATTATTACTTGCTTCCTTGGGCTTGGACGGATCTTTATTCATGAGTGGATCAAGTACATACATGTTAAAAATTGTCAGGAAAGAGGTGAATTCAAGTCTAGAACTTACATGCTCTAATGCCATGTTAGCAGTCAACTATCCTAAAAAGCTTAAATTGATTGAAGCATTATGATTTATTTCATTATTTCATACATTATAATGTAAATGTAGGTTTGTCATGGTGGACTCTTCACTTTGTAAACTAGTTTGCAGTTATGTCAATCTCCTAACTCTTAATCTGATGGATCTTTGTGTTGTTTGATAAACTTAAAAATTAAGTACTAAAAATTTTAAGAGCTGAATTTTAAGTGTTGTTTTTAAATCGCAATTAAAAATTGAGATTTTCTTAAAATCTTTTTTATTGTTAGTGTTCAGTATTCATTGATGAGTGGAGTCATTGTCACTTAAAATTTTACCACATTTTAAGTGGCATTTACCTTTTCAAGTGATATTCAAATTGCTTATCAAACACAATTAGATAACCACAATTAAGTGTTGAATTGGGTTATCAAACAAAACCGTACTAGCTAAATGTAAATGTAAGTTTGGCTAAGTGACCTCTTCACTCCATAGCTGGTTTGTGGTCATGTCAGTCCACCTACGCCCATATTGTTATACTAGCGTATCTGATGCTGGCAAGCTTGCAAAATTTAGATGATGTCATTCAGCTGCTAGGGTGTGAATCAATTAATAATTATTTGTTAAAAAGACTCAATTATTTATTTGTTCTTTTGTTATTTGATTGAATATATGTGCGGAATGATAGATATCTATCTCATCTCTGATAGCATATTCACCGATACACCTTGACCTGCCCTGTAATAATTAGCACTAACAAGACTAATTGCATTATCTGCCCTATTTTGTCCAGGATCTGGTTTGCACACTTTTGTTCTTTATTTGGGTCCTCATGTTGCCTTGTTCACTATAAAAGCAATGCATTGCGGCCGAGTTGATATCAAAAGTGCTCCATATGATACGATACAATTGAAAAGAAGGCCTTCATGGCTTGATAAGGATTGCTCAGAATTTGGGGCTCCATTGTTTTCATCGTTAGATGGTTCACGGGTACCACTTAGCAGTATATTGCTACAGGTCCAGTTAGAGGCTTTTCTGTGGGGCATTGGGACTGCGCTTGGAGAGCTTCCTCCATATTTCATTTCAAGAGCAGGTTTGAGTGCTGAAGACATTTTTATATATTCTTATATTACTAAATTTTTCTAACGCTTATTAAGGAATTTAATGTGACGTTACATTGGTAGAAAATATTAGCCCATATACACTTTATTTCTTACCTTTCCAAAGGATTGAAATGGCAGTCATAGTTCTAATATGAGGATTACTAAAAGATTTATTTATCTTTCTTATATATATACTTTGTTAAAATGTTCCCACTTTACATTTCAAGAGCAGGTTTGACGGCTGAAGGTTTGACGGCTGAAGCATTATTATATATTGTTAGATTACTAAAATTTTCTAACACAAACTTTATTAAATAATTTTGGCTGAAAGGATCTATGATGAATATTGAATGCCAGTAATCCCGGAATTTATGGAACATCATTTGATTAAAGAGTAAAGTTGTAAGCATTAGCTTATAAAATTCAATGCTTGCATTGTGGTTTCTTCATATTCTGTGTCATAGTTTGTATTTAGGAATGCGTTTGGCCTCATTCATGTCTTTCTAAATTGTAATGTTAAGATTTTGGTCATAAACTTTCATAAATATTGACAGGTCTTTACTAGTTCCACTTCCGGTTTTTTTTTCTTTCCTTTTACTTTTTGTGCAGGTAATCTGTCTATATAAATTTTTAGTGTGTTAATGGGAAAGCACATATGATCTCATTTTATGTTCCAAAATCTGATGAATCATGGTATTGTCAAATATGTTAACTTGTCAGTGTGTGTGTGGGAGGGAGAATATGTGGGGGAATGGAGATGATGTGATTTTATTTATATAAACTGACGTATGTTTAGGGTGGTAGTTCAAACAGTTAAATCTTTATATTGCACAAAAAAAGAAAAAAAAAAAAAAAAAAGTACCTTTCATATGCTCACATGCAAATTATGTAATGATGCGCATAATCTCCGCACACCCCCCCCCCCCCCCCCTCCCCCAAGGGCGGGCGCGGGCGCGCACGTTGCTATGCCTAAGCTCTATTGGACATCAAATTGCATAGACATCGCAGCAGCTACTAGGAGTTATGTAATCGTTCTTTAGTTTTGCTTTCATTTGAACCAAGTGATGTGTGCCGCAGGATATTGATATAACCATTTCAAAAAGAATGCCTCACTCTCATGTTTGCAGCACAGAAGGTGCCCCAAGTATACAACCTCAGCTCTCATCCCTTTTCTGTCTCTCTCATAACTAACCCCTTCTGCATACTGGTTTTCAGCTAGTGCTCATGCAGAGCTTCTATAACAAGATTCAAACCTATATTTTTTGCAGCCTTGCTGGAGCTTCCCATCTCCAGGTGTTTCCTGTTGGCTACCTTGAGGTCTGGAGTCATTCTTTTGTGGAGTTTTGCAACACTAGTTGAATTTTTATTAATCTGGAGAATTGTTAAGTTGCAGCCTGAATATGCATGGTGGTTGACGATGAAACATTTTGATGCATATATGGCGTTTCTGACATTTATTTGTATATGTACAAGTATGCTGTAATCACACGATTTTGTGGTATGCTTTTATGTTTCTCTTACAAGGCAGCTTCTCATTACTAGGTCGTACTGTTCAGCGTGTGTTTGACATGAGTAGTATCAGATCTTCTCTTAATAATTTGAAGGACTTTTGCAATTTGATCACTTCTACAATTCTGCATCTTCATGCAGCACTAGCGTCAGGTGGCAAATTGGATGCCATGGAAGAATTGGATGCTTCCTCAACTGAAGATAATGGAGTCATAGCTACTTGCCTGAATCAAATGAAGCGCTGGTTCCTATCACACTCGCAATGTTTGAACTTCTTTACAATTTTACTGCTTGCTTCGGTTAGTTTTGATTCCCTACCCTTATTTTCTAGCATCACTTCATTGCAAAATAGTGTAGTCAAATTTATGCTGATTGACATTGTTAGCACATGACTTATTAATTAATTGTTAATGTCTGTTTAAGCACTGTTGACTGTTTTTATGATTCCTCCTGGCTTTTTATTGGGTGGGGGAAAGAGAAGAGGGATGGGGCTGGGGGAGGATGTTTTACACGATGTTGAGCTTTTGCCACAGCGTATATGTTAAACTATTAATATGTATTCTCTTGGTTAACTGAAGCATTTTTTAGGTGCCAAATCCTTTATTTGACCTAGCTGGCATCATGTGCGGACAATTCGGAATTCCTTTCTGGAAGTTTTTTCTTTCAACATTGGTTGGAAAGGCAATTATTAAAACTCACATACAGGTTTGTGAAGGTCTGATCCTCATACTTCTTATACCTTGGAAACTGTTTAGACCAACTGTGGGTGGTGCTATTACTGCCTAGAGATCTTTGGGAACTTATAAATTTTTGCCCAAGATTTGTACAGGCACTTCATTTTATTTGATTGAGAAAAACAAATTATATGGCTATAATGAAATGGATAAATATCTAAAGGAAAACAAACCGGATCAGCTTGAGCCGAGTAGACACAATCCTGATGTGTGGCACATCGTTGTTGGGCTTGTCTCTATTCGTCTCAAGCCAATTTCGGCCTGAAATGCACAGTCCATAGCTCAAACTTCTTGCCGTCACCAGGAAGCTATATAGTTCAATCTTAAAAACATCATGTGTTGACTTCTGATTAGTTGTTTTGTTGATTACTCTTATGCAGACGATATTTATTATTTCAATTTGCAATAATCAACTTCTTGACTGGATAGAAAATGAGTTGATTTGGGTGCTTAGCTTTATACCTGGTTTTGCTGCTGCCCTGCCCAACCTCGTCGCCAAAGTGCATGCAATGAAAGCCAAGTATATGGCAACCCATCCTCCCGTTCCCTCGGATATGAAGGTGCTTCCTCTTTTTGGATGGGATTTGGCTGTTCTCTCTGGTTTATCATTTTTGAATTTGGATTTAGTCACATTTGCTGAAGTTCGTTTTTAATATTTTTCTCAGGTTAAGAGCTGGGAATTGTCATTTGCTTCAATTTGGAACACAGTCGTATGGCTCATGCTTATGAACTTTTTCATTAAGATTGTGACTGCAACTGCACAGGGGTATCTTAAAGAGCAACAGGAAAAGGATTTGGCTGCTCGGAGAAACAAATTATCAGCATCAAGGGACTCGAATGAGTCTGAACCTTCATTCATCTAGAAGAACTTGAAAAGTAACCTATTATGCCCTCTGTTTTTTTTCTTTTATTCTAGCTTACAATTAGAGATGATGAAATTTGAGTGAGAATCCCCATTCATGAGTCGCCATTAAAGCCACCTGAAAACTATCTGTTTGTCACAAGTCAACAGAAGTTGAAGGAATGTTGGGGAAGTATTGTCTGTGGGGGGAAATTCAAGTGCCATATTTAGCTACTCTTGGGATTTGGTGATTAGAAACTTACCATTCTTTGGCAATGCAAGGCAAATTTTTTAGCTTGTTCATCTTTATGCTTTGCGATTTCAGTATGTGTAAGTAATAATTGTAATATATAGAGACAAACATCTTGGGATTGTTGTTGAGGTTTTGGAACAGAGTTTTTCAAATCTTCAGCATGTAATGAATTAAGCAGTCAATGCAAAGCAGATAGCCATGTCAGAATGCATATAATTATTATCATTATCTTTCTTTTTTCTTTTTCTTTTTCTTTTTTTCTTGCGATCAGGTAAGTACTTACACATTTTTATTTCACAAGCTTGAACCTTTCCCCTCATCTTTGAAGATGGGAAAGTTATCCAACTGGGTTCATGCATATAAGTTGTCAAAACAACTTCCCTATTTTTATAAACAAAATGTGTTGAAGGATTTAAATATTAAAAGATATTCCATCACTTTCCTATTGGACTAAAAGATGATCACCCGTATAGAGTATCTATTAAAAAATTTAAATATTAAAGTTAAACATTTTAAAAAAAGAAAAAAAAAATGGTTTTTGTTCCTAGTACTTCTCCACTATGAACACAGACCTACAAGGTCCCTCGTCTGCATTTACTTGGTTTCTGTCTTAACCCCACGTTGAGATGTTAGTGGACGCATAATGGGTTTATTAGTTTCCAAATCCAATATTCTTTTAGGCTCCATTTGGTTGGATGGAAACAGCTAGAAAGGAAAAGAAATGGAAAATGAAAAGAAAAGTGAAGTGGATGAAAAGAAAAGTGAAGTGGATGAAAAGAAAATTAATTTTCTAGTATGTATTTGGTTAGGATGAAAATTTATTCAAGAAAATTGTAGAAAAATATCATATTATAGTTTGGATACCTAAATTACCCTTATTTTATAAAATAATAGAGAATTAGTAATAAAATATATTTAAAAAAATAATAAAATTTTCAATTAAAAATTTAAATTAATTGAAAAACAACTAAGAATGGAAGTCAAATTAATTAAAAATTTATCAATGATAAAGTTGTTAATGGACTCCAATTTTTTGAAACTTAGTAAAAAATTGTTATTGTTTCCAAATATAAAATAAAGTTGTTGGGTAAAATAATATTAATGAAGTTGTTGGGTAAAATAGGAATACTAAATAAAAAGACACGCTTTCGCAGGAAAATAAAATTTCCCCGTGTTTTGTGAAAGAAACAATTTGGAGAAAATAAAGGGTTACAAGAATCATAATTTTCTAGAACTTTTCCTTTTCTATCTAATCAAATTATAAAAAAATTTTAAAATTTTCTATTTCCTTTCTTTTCCTGTTGATTCTATCCAACTAAACGAAGCCTTAGGATAAAATTGTGCCTATTTAGTATTTACTATTATCCAACCAAAATCTTGAATTCCACGTGGGTCTCTCAATGTAACACTCACTTGGTGTAACGGATGAGATTTGATACTAGTATTGTCAAAGCTGTTAGGCTTCAAATGGGTGATAATTATTGTGATTAGATTATCATAATCATTCATTACTCATGTTTCAAATTTTAAATAAATATAAACAATGAATCATGCGTCCAGGTAGCATAAAAGACAATTTAATCTAATCTAATCTATGTCTTGGGTATTAAGTATTATCATTAAGCAAAGCATAGGGTTATTCCCCACCATATTAGATTATTCCTGGGGAATAAATTAATGATATATAATCTTTGGCCAGTGAGCATAGTTGATTGATTCCCTTTATATATATATAACCTAAAGTAATAGTAATAAATTATTGAAATCTAGAAACTATGACTTACCATTTGATGGGCCCACTAATTTAAAACATATTAAATTGACTAACTTTTTAACTTACAAGTTCCCCCTTATGATCCAAAACCCCTCAAATAATTAATTATGTCTTAAAAGAAACAGTTTGACTCCCACCTCAATAGATATGTTTGTTTGTGTGTCTATACAATAAATATATATATGTGTGTGTGTGTATATATAGAGAGAGAGAGAGAGGGCCACCACATAAAACAATAATTTGGTCAATAAATAAAGTATGGAGGTTAGTTCAAAATATACTCTGGTCTCCAAATAAACAAACGCATTATATGGTATGTGTGAGTTGATGGGTTCCAATTGCTAAGTGAATTATATTGTCAAGAACCACTAATTGTTACTCCATTTTTTTTAGTGGCAGATCCAATGTTTTAGTTTTACACATCGTACCTAAGCATTTTAAATGTATTTTATAACTTTTCTCTTCTTCTTTTTCCCCCGCTAATTTTTTCATCTCTATCTTTGACATATACACACACACACACATACACACTGGGTAAGTAGAAAATAATACGTAAATTTCGAGACCAATCCACCAAATTCAGTTTAATTTTTGTGAATTTAATTCGTTATTATTTATTAGGAAGCTCCACAAACAGTGCCAAGTCTCCAAATAAATAACATTGAGTTTTTAATTCTCTTGCATTTTCTTCTCTATATCTTAAATTCAACAAATTTCTGAGCAACTTGTCCATTATTATTATTATTTTACTCTACCTTCCTACCAAATAAATAAATAAATTATATGACAGGAGCACAAACATCATGATACAATGTAAATTTTTAATAGAAATTACGAACTTAATTTTGCAAAATTTCTCTTTATGGCCGTGAAGACATACAATTTTCAAGCACAAGACCTAATTATAATTACTTTGTAGTTCTTGTTGAGAAGAAATGCATTTTTAATTTTACCCAAAAAAAAAAAAAAAATTTGCACTTTATAATAATGGGTTCACTAGATTCTTTAATTAAGATCAAAATCAAAATCTGAGTAGAGTAACATGCATGATTTGATCTAATTATTCACATTTTTTAAATATATATATTTATTTTAAGTATTTTATGGGTCAGGTATCATATACTTGGGAGTAATTTTAAAAATAATATGTAGGTCATTCCATAGTATTATATTGGTTGTATAGAATCTTTGAATTATAAAAAGAACTAGTTTTAATAAATTGAATCAAAATGCTTTGCAACAATAAAGAAATGCTTGTGAGAGTGTGGGTCCTTAAAATAAACAACCTGAATTGTGGGTCCTTAAAATAAACAACCTGAATAGTTTATCTAAATTAAAATATAATATTGAAATTTCTTTTAGTTTGTGGCTGGCTTATTAAATTAACAAATTCATTTCTTTAGATTATTCTTAAGATAGAAGATCAGCATGACTGAGAACACATGCATCTAGACTTGTTGTAGAAAATCCTCATCTTTTTGGAATATTTTGAAAGTGCCCTTATATTTATTGAATTTGCATTTGCACCACCCAACTTTGGGAACTTTGTTGTATGGATCTACATATCTTCTAAAACTAAATAATAGCTTTATCTTTTGCCAAATATTAATCTATAATAGAAAATTAGATGTACAATAATTAATTCCTAAAATAAGATATTGAATTGTGATTAACAAAAGATGGAGGTAATGATATCAAAAACAAAAAATGAGTTACGGATGTAACAACCCTCAGGCCGATACAATGTTGTCAAGTTTTAAAATTTTCAGACTAGACTTCTCATGAGATCTACCTATCATGAGATACAATAGTATCTAACTGAATAGACAATATTATCTAACTGAATAGACTTCTCAACAAATCATCTATCCTGATACTACTCATGCATAAGGAGGTTTAACAACGGAATCCTAATGAATTCATTTATGGCCATCACGACTGTAAAACGTATTGTATTAGAAAAGAATATTGAACCTACATATAGCACTTCACATTCACCTTTCTTAAGTGATGCGAGATCATGACATAATCTGACAGTGTGGTAACCTAAGACACACAATCCTTCGCAATGGGTGTCGCATAATCCATCTCTCATGCTCCACGCGCACTCCATCTCTCACGCTTCACGTGCACTCTTGCTCAAATTCTCACAATTTGTGATTTAATTTTGTTGTTTTCACGCTCCCGCTCCCACTCTCGCTTTATACAACTTAGATGATAACTCGTCCGGTATCTTGCACACGTCACATTGGCCCATATCAGTATATCACATGGGCCCACGGAGCTTATATATATCTATATATATAGATTGAGTTAAGGGTAAAGCTTACATAAAACAATAATGTAATGTTTTGAATAAAGAGTTTACAGTTTATACACCTGGGAGGCATGACATGAATAGACCCTTTTGGGGCCTATTAGCCACATCCACTCAATATGTGAACCAAGCCCAGGTAGCCCAACCAATTAAAATATTATTTGTGGGTGTGGAGTGGAGCCCACCACTAATCCATACAGGTAGGAGGGTCCATTATGTTGAATGGTGGGGCGGCGCAGATTGAATGCAGGCCCACTTACAGATTTCAAAGTCTGTGTGTTGTGTGATGGCGTTAAAAAAGTACTACTACTACTCTACACAATGAATCTCTTTCTTCTGTCTCTAACCCTATATCTACCGTGGAATTTTAAGGCACTGACAAACAAACACTGTCACTGTGGGTCCCATTTCCCCCCTGATTTTCTGGTTATTATCTTATTTGCAACATTTCTTTCTCATCTATTATAGCCCATCTTGTGCGCACACATCTGTGTGTCCCCTGTAGACTGTAGAGATATATATATATATATATATATATACACACACATAATTATAATACGATAAATGCACACACACGAGGTGGAAACAATATTGGGTCCCACCCACCAACCTTTTCCAAAGTGTAGAGTAGATTTCAACAGCATGAGATAATAAAGTGGGAATAAAAGGAAAGAAACAAACTTCTCTCTCATTCTCACTTTTTAGAATTAAAAAATCAAAGAATCATCTGAATGTGAGTTTTTGGTCGAGATAAAAAAAATAATAATAATTTTTTTAAAAAAAAGACCTAAAAGTAAACCTTTAATTTTTAAGAGGTTGAAAGAATTTTATAATTTCAATTTTTTTTCAATAATTGTTTGATGAATGTGAAAGAAATTATATATGTATGTTGGTGAATTAGTATGAAGTGTTCCGAAATGGTTGAAAAAAAAAATGAAACTCTATTCTAACTGCCATTAATAAGATCTAATGCTGATTAATTAAAAAAATAATACTTCTAATTTTAATAATTCTATCTTTATAATGTTTGTGTCTGTTCTATATAAATCTGTATATAGAGTAATATTAACCTTGTATATAGAATAATAACCATCTGATTTCTTAATAATAAATCTGTATATAGATTTACCTTTT